TCGAATTATCCTATTCTTGACGTCAATGTTCTTCATTTCTTGCTCTAAAAGTTGAACTTTAGGTTGAATGGTCAGTGGGTGGTCGTTGCCCATATCTTCTCAGGTAGATATATCATATTGAAAAAGTGTTCCAGTGGGTGGTTACATTGCCCTAGCAACCATATTTAAATCTGTCACCGAAGGAAAGTAGAAACTGTATGATTAAACCTTGAGGTTCCCTGTGAAGTTTGATTTTTTTTATTAGTAAAACTTCGTTTTCAGTAGGAAGCATGCGCAGATATATGATGTACCATAATGTATGTACGACAAGACCTGAGTGGAATATACCTCATCCATGGACGCGTCAATGAGTTTTTTTATAGATACATTACAAGTAAAATAATTAAATGCAAATAAAATAAATCAACATAAAATTAAAAAAAGTATAACACGCGTTTTCTGTGACGTTTATACCAGCATTGATGATATGGCACGTGCCAGGCAGATAATGGCAGGCACTATAATCTACTGCTTTCTGTTCATATCCCAGACCTTGATAATCATATCCCAGACTAATCTATACCCGTCCCTTTGAATATGGACTCGCTTTGTGCATTAATGTGTAATTACTTATTATATTTTTATCTATTATTCGAATATTAACATTGTTAAGCTTAATTGTAGACCCCTCTTTGAACTGACGTATAGTTTGAAAAAAAGTATTGATTCATGTATATGATTTATATGGGGGCGTCAACAAAAATATACCGGGTAGTTGAGTTATATCTGTAAACATAAACGTTTCTACCACAACATAAAGACATACGCCTCTATAACATTGTGATGATCTAGTATGTCTGTATAACATTGTGACGAACTACGTCTGTATGACACTGTGATGATCTAGTATGTCTGTATGACATTGTGACGAACTTCGTCTGTATGACACTGTGATGATCTAGTATGTCTGTATGACATTGTGACGACCTACGTCTGTATGACACTGTGATGATCTAGTATGTCTGACATTGTGACGACCTACGTCTGGATGACGTTGTGATGGCCTATGTCTTTCATATGGAGAAATGACGGTCACTTTGCTAATTCGCATAATCCGCCATCTTGGATAAAATGGCGACCATTTGGCCCATTGGGATAACACTATGGGCTTTAAGTTTTTGCATGTATCGGCTTGATAGCAATCCGGATCATATTTTACTTGATGTCAAATTTCACTACACGCCGTCTAAATATGGGTTAAAAGTTAATTAGCGCGACCAATTAAAAACTCGAGGTTTCTGGAGTAGATAAGCTTTTGCAGCGAGGGCGCATATATGTTCTATGCGATCGAATACTGGAAAATGCCCAAATAGACATTTTCTGCACTTTCGATCGAATTTTTCGATGCTGTCTCTACATGACCTAGATAAGTTGCAGAGATTCGCTAGATAACTTCCGGTTTAGAAAAACACACTTTATGAGGTGTTTTAAGAATATTTGCAATATCCGAGGTTCCTGGAGCATTTGAAAAATGGATTTTCTTAAATTTGACATAAAATCAAAGGGGCACCATAGGGGATTATGTAAAACCATCGTATTCTTTTGAAAGTGAGTCTCCATGTTTTTGTGACACTCTCTCGACTTGAAAGAGGCACCAAAAAGGATTCATTTAAAATATTTACTTATTCAATCCTTTCAGTTGAATTTGATATACATTTTTAGGTAGAATGACAAGAATGCTACAGTACAATGGCCACATGATTCGAAAAACATGACTTACAACTTCTCACTGATCAGGTGTAGTACACATCCCTGCACTGATCTAACATATATATGCATGTTATTTGTAAATTATATAATATTTCCTTTTAGTTATTTTTTCCAGAACATGCCGTGAAATAAAGTTTGTCCCTGTTTCAGACAACGTTATTAAATAAATGTGTGGACAATGTTTTATTCTAAGTTGGTATCACATATGAACGTACGTCCTCGATCACCTCATAATTTTTATACGTCAAAAAAGGAGCAAAACCGGATTTTCAGGACGAAAAATTAAAGCCTAATGATAAATGTACTTGAAGCTAATCGATGTTACTATTTTTTTAAATTGATAAGTCAATCCGTCTGCCTTATTGTTGAATGAAATATGTAAATTTATCAGTCGTTCCAACTAACTATATAAACATTCAACATTTGAAAAAGAGCTGGTATTCCAGCCTTGCCTCTGAAATGATCATCTGAGAAAATTGAATCCTTCTCTCCGGGACGTTGTGTTTCACGTATTGCACCCCTCATCTGTTACATATAAATATACATAGTCCTCTGTATATTAAGTAACATCCGTCAGCCCGAGATTAGTCTGTCCTTATTGTTTTAGAATCTTTGTATCACGTATACTAATTGTACTACTGCAATGTAAATGAGATTGCAATCGTCATATTTGGTCTTGTTTTATTCCAAATATGCAACTTTTTTAAGATACCACACCTTTTTTTTCCACAAGTTTGATCATAACTTATAGGCTACAGATTCACTTGTTGAAATTTTTGGAACCAATCGTGCAGTTGATAATTGAATCACATTATCCCTTCGTGAGCCCATTGAACTTTCGCAAGTTTCTGATGTTAAAGCACCAATTTCTCGTTAACCCCACGGATTTTGTAGGTTAATGTTTCACAACTAATATCTTAAATGTCTTCTTACATATGAATAAAATCAGATTTTTACATAGTGTAACTGTTAGACGTAACAAGTACAACATGCATATTGTTTTTGTTCCGTCATCGGTAGTATAGAATGTCCGAGAATGACAGCTGTCTGGCTATATATTCTATATTTTCCCTTATATTAGGAAATTATGTAACTCCATTTCCCATTATTTTTGATAAATCTCATTGAATAAAATCGTGACTAAAATGAGCCTGGGAGCAATTATTTTTCTGTTGGTTGCCATGGTCGCGCGGAAAAACTTTGATGATCACGTGATCAGATATGCTTCGCCCCTCATTAATATTCATGAGGAAAAGTGGCCCTCATTTCTCCATATGTTATGACATTGTGATGGCCTACGTATGTATGGCATAGTAACGTCCTATGTATCTATGACATCGTGATGACACATTCACAAGAAACGTTTCGAAACATTCTCATTGTTTTCAGGCGGTATATCATCGCCACGTTTTTTTCTTAGAATTTTTAACAACATATTTCGTCCTTCTGTTTTTCCGTTAAAATCATGTAACCCGTGGCGATTTAGACCGAAGTATACGACATTACCACAGCATTCTTTGCCAGTATTTTTTGTGTTGTCTACTGATCCTAGTACTAATATTAAAGTTACCGGAGGCTAACAATCTTTTGTCGTAATTAGAGTTACTTCCCTTCGACATAGCCCAGTTTGTTATTCACATATTTGGAGTTATTGCCCTTTGACCTAGCCCAGTCTGTACTACACATATTTGGAGTTATTGCCCTTCGATCTAACCCAGTTTGTAATTCACATATTTTAAGTTATTGCCCTTTGACCTAGCCCAGTCTGTACTACACATAATTAGAGTTACTTCCCTTCGACCTAACCCAGTTTGTAATTCACATATTTGGAATTATTGCCCTTTGACCAAGCCCAGTCTGTACTATACATATTTGAAGTTACTTTCCTTCGACCTAGCCCAGTTTGTAATTCACGTATTTGGAGTTATTGCCCTTTGACCTAGCCCAGTTTGTAATACCCATATTTCAACCAAAGAGATAAAGTACAGTGAAAGTAAATACGCATTGTTTATTGGTATAGAAGGGAATATCAACATTAATGTTATATTTTTAATTTTATGTTTCGTGTTTGTATTGTCTGTATTTCAATTTTAATTTTCCTATTTTCAAAAGTATTTCTATTTTTTTTTTTTTTTTGTATTTTCGTTCTATCTTCCTTTTTCTACTTTTTGAATTCTTTGAAAGCTTCATTTTCCTTTCTCAACAGAAAAAAAATAAAGTTATCAATATCACAATTGATGAGTTACAAATGTAAAATTCACGAGCCACAGATGAAATGGTTTAATTATTGTCAGTCAATCGGTAATCGTGTTATATATATATATAGTCTATATCGAGATTTCTAATTTCTTTTATTGCGACTTTCCTTACGACCCATTGGTACAGAAATACTAATGACGTTTATCTGTGCATGTGTAATGTTACCTAACTATCCGTAGACATTCTGTGGCTCTTAAAACCAATACATTAACCTTAAACTATTGATTGCACATGACTATGGGTGACTAAAATGATACAACATTGGGTTTACCATTACAACTTAGATCAGTTTTTTTAAATACAGTTACTAGAGATTTAAGAATTCCTCAGTTGCAATTTGTCTGTCTTACAGCTGAAGTGAAGAAATATTCTATTATCTATAAAAAAAAAGTCCAATATGCATATATTCCGTCTTTTCGTATTGCAGAGTTATCTGCTCTTGTGAGCCGGTATTGATTGTAACGTCATTTGTTTGTGAGAGTAACGTCCTAAATATTTGAGAAAACAACGTAATTTTCTCACACAAACTAATCACGTAACAATTAATACCAGCGCACAAGAGCAGATAACTCTGCAATACGAAAAGACGGAATATAAGAGACTGAACCCTTTTGGACTTGTTAAACATATACTGAAAAAGAGAAAAGAATACTAGTTTTCAGGGCTGAGTAATACGATTGTCCCGGTCGCTAAAACACTCTTCCGTTATCATAGCATGATGGATTCAACCCACTTGACGAAAAAAAGGCATGATGTTACAACTAGACATTGACATTGTGAACAAATGCATTAGAACAAGACACACTGCTGTAAATAATTAGTCAGTTTTCAAGACAAAAACAATAAATCTATCAAGAAGAATACGATGTCATCTTTAATCATTGAAGTTACACATAACACGTAGTTTGATCGAGATTCACAGGGGAAAAAAATATCGCTTCACCAGCTGTCACGGTTTGAATTAGAAAACAAATAACTATCTTTCAGCTGTTCTTATTTTAGTTTTTTTTTTGTTTCCAAATCCGTGCACAATAACTGTCACATTTGGAGGAAACACGTGACACTTTACGTCTGTTGCCGATACAAGATCGCGGCGATGGAGCCTGCAATTTCTTATGGCTGCTTGAAAGTGAGGATCAATGGTTCAACGCATGCCCGTTCATCCGGGTTAAACATCCGCTGTTTTCCGACGTCCGACTTTGTACACATTCCAGTATAGACAACACGTTCCTTTTTGCACACGACGAAATGTGGGGTCCACTCTTTGCCCTTCCAGGCGTTGAGACCCTCCGGAAGTCCTTTACAACTCGGAAAACGTATGTAACACGGAGGACAGTCTGCACTTTCGTCGCACTTGTTGACGTCATATTCGCCTAAAAATAAAAAATAAATCAAGGCGAGAAATGAAGAAATGTGGCACAATATGAAACACAATCACCTGGCCGTTGACTTGTTGATAACCCTTTCCTATTTATCATATGATCAATTAGATATAGCTCTGTCAATTTGCTCATACTCAATACAACTATTTATTGTTAGTTTGTAACAACTCTACACACTACTTTATATAATACACTACTTTATATAATGAATTTAATTTGATAGTTGGATTTAACATCCATGGGATTAAAGAAATATTCTATCATTACCTAATTTACATGAATATATGATAACAACTGACATTGGTGCTATTCAATATATCAATTACACTGTAATTTTTGTATTTTGACTCTTTAATGATATGATATATCATTGGTTTTTGTTTTTATTTTTGTTTTTATTTTTTACAATTTTGTTATTATTATTTATTTTCTCTATTAGTTGTCCTTGTTTATGTTATATATATCCAAGTAGATGTTTTAGCTCGGTCAAATATTAGTAATCGTGTTTCTCCCTCAGGAAGTTGTGTGCTGTTTAAACAATATCAATACCATGTTTCAGTGTGTATGGTTTGTGTATGTATGTGTGAGAAAGCGACACTCAGCAGATCTACTTACTTGTTGTTTTTTGATAATGACATGTTTTATAAATTTATTCAATTGTCTCTTATATTGAGAGCAGGTGATGTACATGTAAACACGGGTCCCAATTGTCAAGATAAATATGAATTAAGCAATATATCGATTCTTCATCTTAATGTTCGTTCTTTGCGTAACAAGCTTGAACTTATTGAAGGAGAGTTTTTTGAAAATTACATTATCTGTTTTTCTGAAACTCATCCAGATGATTCTGTCAATGATACTGATCTCAAATTAGAGCTACACCTTACCTTTCTTTAGAGATGATAGGAAGGAGAGGCAAGGTGGAGGTGTCATGATATATACAAAAGATAACATTCATGCTACAAGAAGATTTGATCTTGAATCAGTTGATTTTGAAAATATTGTCTAATAAATTAGATCATCTAACAAAATGTTTTTTCTTTGTTGTATTTACAGACCTCCAAACCCAAATGTTGCTTACTGGAATAAATTTAATAATTTAATTGAGTAATGGCTAATGTAAACTGTTATGTTATTATCACGTGTGATATTAACCAAGATATGCTTTCTCTTTCTGCTAATACACAATTTTAATTAAATATCAGCTACAAAATATCATTCAATGTCCTACAAGAATAGCTAATACATCAGCAACTGATATTGACATATTCTATGTTAACAACCTAAACATAGCGCAGAGTTCAGAGGTTATATTACCGCTATGTAGTGACCACTTTCCTATTGTTATGAATTTATGTTTCAAAGTATTAAAAGTAAAATCGTTTGTAAAATAAAGGACTACGTATGTTTTGGGCCTATTTTGGCCCTCAAATGCATCAAAATTCAAAACCTTTAAAAGAACTTTGAAATGACTGTTTCTTTTATTTTAAATTCTTCCCAAACACTGTCATGAACATATTTATTTGTATTTCTAATTTTTGTTCAAAATTGCATAAAGGGCCGGTTTCCAAAACGGCCCCTTCTCTGATTCAAATTTCCTGTTGGTGGTGCATTGCCCATGCCGTTGTGGTCACAATTCTATAAAGTATAAAGATTTAGGACACTAGGGTTGTTTTTTATGGCTCCTCAAAGTTGTACCTTTCAGAAGCTGTCTAAGTGTTGATAAAATGTGCATGTTATGTAAAATATCAATGAAAATCTAATCAAATGATGGTCACCGTAAAGAATACATTCATGGCATGATTGTGACAAAAAATCATGTTTCCATCGCGCCATTTGGCTGTTTTATGGAAGAAACAATCTCAAAAATGCCATTTTCGATGATAACATTTTAGACACAAAAACTGTGTTTTTTAGAGAATACACCCTTTTATGGGCGTTGGATGCAAACCAATTTTTATCCTATTAAACAGTACGTAATATGCTATTGATGAGAGGAAAAATCATCAAAATGTAAGTGGTGGAACATTTTCAAATGTTGGGTTGAATTAGCCTATGGTTGAATTGCCGATTTTCGACTTTCTTTAGATAATTAACAAAAAAACGAGAGTATTTGCTCGGTATGTTGAGAATATGTACACAGATATGAAAAAAAGTGAGAGAAACACTTTTTCATAAAAAAAATCCAAGATGGCTACTTCACAAGTCCCCGTGGTTGAAGACATTGGCTGACAAATAGACAGAACAACAAACAAAACGTGTTCCTTATGATTTTGGTTGGTTTTCGCATTTACGGGAGTGTTCATAGCTACGGGCGATTGTATAATACCTATATTTATAAGTTTGGTTAGTCACATGGTAACGGGGATCTTTCATATCGAGCCCCAAACATACTTTCGACATATGCACTCCGTTGCCGCATGGAAAACTATTTCAAGTTTTGTCGGAATTTCTTTACCTGTGGTTGTAATGGTCGAGGGTTTTCCAGCGTCCTGTAATACCCAAGGTAGTACAAGATACTGGAGATGTGCGCACACATTCCCATCGTTCTCTCTCCAACTGGGCACTGGCAGTAGTAGTCCTTTATTGGGGCCTCAACATCGGGTGAAACGGTGAACCGTATCCAAACGTTATATTTCGTTTGGCTTTTGTGTCGAGAATGTATTTGACATCGGAGAAGGTCTGGGGAGTGCTGGTAAAGCCACACCTCATAGTCTCCGTCATCACTTAAATGTTCGGCGATGTAACCAGGAGCCAGAGATATCTGATACGTTCCACACGTAATGGTTCTCAAGTAATCAAGATCGAGACGGGGAAACAGTACGGAAGATGCATCCATCTTGACAAACTCGGACCTTGCCCGTCTAGATAGATCCGGATCTGTCTTAACTCTCGGAGCTAAACCATTCGGTGTTGTCAAACGGTCCTTCATACGTTTAACCATTAGCCTATCTTTGGCATCTCTCTCTGGAGATCTCTGGTAGATCGGTCCTCTAATACCATTCAGACAGGCTGTGACGGTTCGAAGCAAAGCCTCGATGACATTGATAAAGCTGTTAGACACCAATTGCGTTCGGAAGAACGTCCAGTGTTTCAGACGACCATGATAGGATTCCACAATCCACCTCGATTTGGTGATAGTTCTGTCAAGATTTGCTTGGACGTCAGAATGTTGACTTTGACCGGGTTTCAGGTATGACGGCATGCTAGCATTGAGGCCAGAGGCTTCGAGAACTGGTAGGACATCTCTAAAACCTCGGTCAACGACAACGTTGTCGTCTGGTTGTAGCCAAGTAACTAGCTTGTCCATGACTTTTTTTGTAATTGTAGCATCATTTTCGCTGCCAGTGAATGGTCCTACTGTGTCCAGAATGTAGCCATCTGGTAAGGCGATGCTCATGAATTTGAGATAGTTTCTCTTCTTCTGGCCACAGTAGGACATTCTCTGGAGCTTGTGGTCGGAGCTTTTCTGGATATAAATATAGGTGCCATCTAATATGGCAGTGGCTTTATCTCCAAAAAATGCTTCTGAAAAGACAGTATTGTGCCCGAGCAACTGTTCTCTTGTCAAGTGATCCGGACCTAGAAATTGTGGGACTATCGATGTGTCTAATGCCTGTACTATGGAGTGGAAAGTTTTGGACACACTTGACTTGGAAATTCCAAAAAGAGAAGAACACTGACTCCAGGAAATGTCGGTTTTCAGTTTTACCCAGAACAGTAATAGAGCATCGTGTGTAGTCTTGGTATATATACCAGATGAAAGATATGGGGAACAGTGCGAGTGGATTTCGAGGAACTGATCTTTGGACCAACCTGTCCAGGCCATGCATGCCGAGTCATCAAGAGAAGAAAAGCTTATTGTAAACGCAGACTGGTTCTGTGAAAGGACGTGCGACACCTCTAGGAGGTCATTAATGATTTCGGACGATTTTGATGGTAACTGAGATTCCAAGGAACCTCTACCATCAAGGACAACCTCTGTAGACGGATCTAAGTCGTTACCAATAAGGTGAATGGAGCAGACGCGGGATGAGGTGGGACACCACAGTTTGTGTGAATAGATCAGGTGATGTCTTGCACGTTTTGGTAAGACTGATGATTTTGTTCCATTTCTTGCAAAGGTAACAAGACAGAGACAGCATTTTTTGTGTGAAGATGATCCATTCAAAAGATCATGAAGGGTCAGCAACGGCAGGATATGGGACGGGGAGTCGTCTTCTTCCTCTATTTCCTGGTTCTGCTCGGGTTCAGGTTCAGGCTGATTTTTGTTCCGAAGATACTTCATGTAGCACTTCTGGCAAATAAGTGCTTGTTCCTTTGCTGACATCAATCCTTGTTGCACCAGCGTATCTAGGAGCCATTTATATTGTGGACTATTTACATTGCGTGCACTTCTGTTCTTATTGCCACTACGTTTCTTGAAGTATACTTGACACCCTTCTCCAACACATTTACCCTCCATCTTGAAACAATAACGATTGGTTTATGAAGCGTCGATAAAGTAACAAAATAGCAAGCCACCGATGATTGCTGTAAACAGCTAATACTTAGTAGTTTGGTACAATTATGCGAAAATGTGTGATAAATAACGAACAACTAATTACACAAAATAACAAGACAATATAATAAATCACATTCAATACCTCCAAGAAGCGCAGAATTGATTGATTACTTAGAACAAAATAAAGTATTTCATATGGATAATCTATCTATTCGATGTGGCGTGGTCGGCAGGCACAAAGAAAGTGAGACAAGTCAGGGTCCCAACCCTGACAGAGCCACAACGCTTTGGAGATGGGACAATAAAACAAGGAAAGTGAGACAAGAATAGCTAGCGTCGAGTCAATGATTCCGTAAACGTATAGACAAAGACAAGAAGATACGGATAAATGTACAAGGCCACACGATCAGAAAATTCAGAAGAGGACAACTTGAGATAGAACAGTATTCATGTATCAGGGTGTCCTCAGTGTAAATCTTTATATCGATACTGTTTATTTAGTCGTTACACATCATAAAACTGTCATGAAAATATCCGCTCTGATATTCAATATAAAAGTTTGTATATAATAAGCTATATAATAGGGTTTCAGACAAGGTTGTTACTCATTTCCCCTTTTCTTTCAATTTACAACCACATTCAGGCGGCGATATGAGAACGTTCCACCACATGGAATTAGCTGATTTTTGGTACACATATGAAACAAGTAAAGCTCTATCCGATTTTCTGATGGAAATTTGCATCCAAAACTATATAACGGGAGAAAATTGCAATTTTATGGCATTTTTCTTCATAATTGTGTCTCTGCAAGTGCATTTTCATCCGAAAATTTTTTTTTTTATGTTTTATGAATAAACACGATGTTTTGGAAATATTTATCAAAAGAAATTTATACTATGTTGCGAATTACAATTTCGAGATAACCTTCTTTTATTTACGAACTTATGTCTTTGATGCTGAAATTGACAACTTTATAAAAATACATTTTCACTGAAATTATGAAATCTGGGTGTCGGAAAGGTGTAAAATTATTCTTCGGAAAAGAAAAAAACAGTAGTTGAGCTAGATAAGAAATTATACGGGGGCAGGCTCCTATGGAGAATTAACATTACTGGAAACAGGCCCTTAGAAAAAAAAAGAATATTCAGTGAATTTTGTCATATTTTGCATTGTTTTCCTCCTGGAAACCGTAGAGCGCATGCTTGAACAAACTCAAAATCAAAGGATAATGTGCAGGCACCTGTAATACATCTTTAGGATAAATATAAAGTTTGTTTAAGAGTGCGCTCTATGGTAACTAAGAGAAAAACTAGGCAAAAACCTGTCAAAATTTACTGAATATTCAAATTTCATTAACTTATGCAAATATTAACTGATTACCATGGCAGCCATAATTGAAAACCCAAACAAATGTTTACATAATAGTACCAGGGAAGTATTAAGAAACACTAATTTGAAAGTTCTATTGAAGATTTTTAATTTTGATGGATTTGGCCCAAAAAAAGAGGCCAAAACCATACATAGTTCTTTTTCAATTTAGTGAAGCTAACTGGAATGAAATAAATAAATGTCTTCTAGCAATTGATTGGAATATATTGATTGGACATAACGATAATGTAAACGAGATAAATAGTATACTTATAAATCAAATAAACTTGCTTACTGAAAAGTATATTCCATGTAAAGTAATAAGAATAAAGCCAAATGATAAACCATGGATGACTAATGAAATAAGAACCCAGTTAAGGAAAAATAATAAATTGCATAAAATAGCAAAACATACTAATAAAGAAATAGTGTAATTGACCTTATTAGAAAAGCTAAAGATACATATCTTAGGAAACTTCAAAACTCTCTTGTAGATAAAACAGTACCACCTAGTAAGTATAAGACCATAAGTGGTCTTTCCAATAAAAAAGAAACTTCTCATCCTCTTTAAGTTGGTAATGATACTTTGATTCATCTGTTGGATAAAGCAGAAGCTATTAATAATGTATTTACTTCTATTTCAAACTCTGTTGATGATATTATTAATATTAACAATTCTGATATGGATTTACCTCCCCTTAGTCATATCAAACTTGGTGAAATTGTTATATCAGATCACGACATAATTGATCAAGTCCAGCTAATTAAGGATAATAAACCTCCTGGGCCTGACAATGTTTCGCCTAAAATAATAAAAAATCTTCTACCTTTTATAATGTTACCACTTAGAATTATCTTTAATAAAACAATTACTTCTGGTACTATTCCTCTAGCCTGGAAGCCTGCTTATGTTAATGCTCTATATAAAAGTAAAGGAGCTATTGATGATCCAAATAATTATAGACCAATTGCCATTACATCCATTTTAAGTAAAATATTAGAAAAAATATCTTTTAAGAATGTCTTTAATTATGTAACCAAACATCATATTATCAGTGAGCACCAATCTGGATTTCAACTTAGAGACTCTACAGTCAATCAACTAATATCAATACATAATTTAATTAGGAATAACATTGATAAAGGTCTAGCAGAAGGGTCTTTTGTAAAAGTTCAAAAAATGGCATATCTGGTAATTTGTATAAATGGTTTGAAAGTTGTTTTACTGATACAAAAACAAAGAGTTAACTTTGATGGTTATAATTCTACATTTAAACATACAACTGCTGGTGTTCCACAAGGCTCTGTATTTGGACCCTTTTTTATTCTTACTTTTTATTAATGATAACTCATGAAATTAATACCAATATAAAATCATTCGCTGACGATACTTCTATCTATGTTATTGTTGATGATGACATTGTAACACCAACTGCGGAGTTAAATGACGACCTTGAATCTATTGATACTTGGGCTAAAACAACGGAAAATTAAAATTCAATCCTAATAAAACAGTTACACTAACTGTAAGTAAGAAAAAATGGTTCACCCTCCGTTGATTTTTGATAATCAAGTAATTCAAGAAAATTTATTACATAAACACTTAGGACTCATATTTAATTCAAAAGGCACATGGGGGATCACATTAATAATATATACAATAAAGCATTTAAACGGCTGAATTTGTTACGTATGTTGAAACATAAAGTGGATACTATTAATTTGTTAGACCAGTTTTGGAATATTCAGATTCCATTTGGGACAATTGCACTATTGGTGAATCAAATTTATTAGAATCTGTACAGATTGATGCAATGAAGATTATAACTGGTTTAAGAAGTGGTACTTCACATTATAAACTATATGAAGAAACTGGCATGGAAAAGTTAGAATCTAGGCGTCATAAGCACAAATTAATTTTAATATATAAAATTACATATCATTTAACCCCTGATTATTTGTTTAATATCATTTCATTAATCAACAGCAAACTATTCATTACCTGCGTCACCACAGATTTTTCAATATCCCAAGGTCAAGAACTAATATTTATAATACAACCTTCTTTCCTAAGACCATGCAGGCATGGAATAGTCTTGATCCTTCGCTGACCAGGTCAGTTAGCCTAAGTTCCTTCAAAAGGAATCTTAAAAATACTATAGCTAATCCTATTGATGCTATTTCTGATACTTTTAAAAATTGTAGCCCACGAAAATTGAATATTATTTTGTGCCAATAAAGAAATGATGCAAGTGACTTGAATCATCATACATTTATAGATCATCTTATCCCAGATCCAGTTTGTACCTGTGGTTCACCAGGTGAAAATATTTGTCATTAATATTTTACTTTTCCTAATTACTCTAATTCTAGGTATTTAATTCTTGAAATTCATGACCGTATTGGTCATTCCAATTCAACTCTGCTAACTTCAGGTGATACCCTGTCGGAGGATATTAATGAACTTATTTTAACTAATGTCCAATACTATCTTAATGGTACTGAACGATTTAAGAGATTATAATATAATAATTGAATGATTGAATTTACTGGAGACCTCTATTATTGAACAGTCTGGATATTATATATATCACTATGACATGAAGGTGTGTGAGTGTGTGTGTGACACGTGTTGGATGACACGTGACCGAATGAAGAAGCACCTGACCTATGGTATGACAAAGCATCCGAAGTAATACAGACGGAGTAAGCAGCATAGAATTTCTTTTTAATACCATATTTTGACATTTAGATGGTTTCCTTTTTTTTCAAGAAAAATATGCACATTCTGTATTATTTACAGAAAAGCTACGTATGCAATATTTTAGAGATTCTATGTAATTTTAACAACTACAAACTTACATGGATCCGTGGGTTCGATTCGCTTATCGCACTTGACGACTTCCGGGAACTCGCAACGCATCTTCTGATCGTCAAAGAGGAGGGGATATGGACATTCCATGAGGGTGGGGGTGCCCGCCCCTGCGGACCGGGTCACACCACACTCATAGTACTTGGCACAGTTCCCCTCGTGCGACTCACGAGTGCTGTTACCGGACAGACACGGCATTCTGACTTGAGCTGGAGTCGTGCCTTAAACGTAAAAAGTTCAAACAGTTATTTTCGTTTATACCACACTCAATAGCTAAACATGGCGTCTATCCTCACGCAATCAGCATAAGGTACGCTATCATCGGTCACGTACAATCCCAAATATATATGGATAGAACACTAGTAGACTATTACGGATTCTTAAAGCATGATACACAAACAGATTAAGTCAATGTGTGTATGTCTAATATTGATACGGAAATACTAATAATTAGATTGGGATTCGAACCCGGGACGTCCGATCTTTAACAACTACTCTACCCAGCCCAGATCTTATATGTTAAGTACTACATAGTTAAATAGCGTACATTTGTCGTTGGGTGATCCCTTGTTAACACACGTCCGACTGTCCGGATTCCAGACGAGACCAGACGGACAGATATACTTAAAATGACGTCCCTGGTAACACATATAGAAAGTAGAACAGTCAGCTTTGTCCTCCACCCAGGTGACGGAGGATGTCTGAGGACACAGCGAGTCCGCCCGGACCCCCGCGAATAGAGCGGCAACAGCGAACAGCATCAACATGGCGAACATCGTGCGCTTGGATTCAGTGTAGGGGAGAGGGTGGCCCGGGCTGGTGTAATACATTACGGACAAGTCGTCGCTCTTTTATACATAACATCAGCAAGGATGAATAACAAAGTGATTATTTCAAATATTACGGGTGGGAAACAACTTCCTTCAGGAGGTACATGATTTAATAAAAACTGAAATTAGGCACACACTTTACGAGCAAACTTTATGAAGCGCAATCCCCTAAATGGTTAAGTTTTAGAAACACCCGACTGCAGAGGTCATGTCTGCACTGACCCCAATGTCTGTACGATGGAGTTTTGCTGTGGCTCTGGAGGGGAGAGAACTCATTAGGAATACGAAATGGAATTAATTGTTTCTAGATTTCTGTTAAAATAACACATTTGTCGATGAAGTAATCTTGTTGTTCTGATTATAATTAAAAGCTATGTTTTGTATATGACCTCATTCCATGGACGTGTTTGTATATGGTTTGGACTTCAATTCACACATTTAAATCGTGAAAAATGATTTACGTTCATGGCTTAATCATTTGTCAGACGTAAAACAATTACAACGGCAGGGTACGTAAGGTTACGAGGACGGCGGTCTTGATTGGTCAACAGGCGCCAAGTTAAGAATGCTGATTGTGTCGCGACGGATCAAAGCTGCCAAACGGGCCCTGTTTCACCCATAACATCGATACACAACGGTGCAGCGAACACACTGTTGCACAGATACGTAGATATCTATTACGTTTCGTCCAAAGTTTTTTGGCCAAACGGGGAACTATGTGTTACTGTTTGGAAAGTTGGCCTTAAGTAAGTTAATGTATCATAACTGAGATGTAATGATGCTGTGTCACGTCGCTTACGTACATCCGATGACGCCTGATAATTGGTTAATTCGTTAATTAACACTTAAAATAAATCGGCTACGTTAATCTAACTAGATATCATTTAAATCAAATGTTTTTGTTGCCACCTTCGTATTTTATTCGTGTGTCCTGAACATCTTATCGATTCCAAAACCATTCAACCGGCAGCGGATATTTGTGGGGAAATTAGAGCTTACTTAAAAGGAGTTGCTTACCTTTGAAATAAAAAGAATCTTTAGGTACCGTTATTAGTTTATATTATACTAATCTGAGATATAGGTATATAAACTTTATTCTTTATACAACAATTATAAAACAAGTTGTTTCAACTTCCATTAATCACTTTTGTTGGCCTGGATGATAGTGCGCGGTGGATCTTAATGAGGGGGGAAACCAGAGTACTCGGAAAACCGCAAGTGTTGACCGCGTGCTTTTCACGTCCGATCAGGGGGAATCGAACCTTGGCCGCCTTGGTAAAAGGCGAGATGTCTTAGCACATATTTTCATCTTTGCTCACATGACACACAAACTACATATTGTTGTTACTTATTCTGAGTCCTGTAAAAGTGCTCATATTTTTTTCGCTGTGACGACAAATTGTTAATCATATGCACCTGGGTTTATTGCCACAGCGGTATGAAGCATGCAAGGATACAGTGATTTTAAATCAGTTATCATAATTTAACTTCACGGCTATAAATGTAAACGTGTTGGAATGTAATTGCTTTATACCCTAGTGGTTATTTAAAACAACTTTTCTACAATCCCCTCAGGTAATATAGAGTACATTGTATTTAGTGTGTGTCCGATCCGATACATGTCTATGGGAGCCTGAAAAAATATCTATGGGAGCCTTATACATGTGTATTGGAGCCTGATAATGTCTATGGGAGCCTGATACATATCTATGGGAGCCTGATACATATCTATGGGAGCCTGATACATATCTATGGGTGCCTGATTACGTGTCTATGGGAGCCTGGTACATATCTATGGGAGTCTGATACATGTCTATGGGAGCCTGATACATGTCTATGGGAGCCTTATACATGTGTATGGGAGCCTGATACATATCTATGGGAGCCTGATACATATCTATGGGAGCCTGATACATATCTATGGGTGCCTGATTACGTGTCTAGGGAGCCTGGTACATATCTATGGGAGTCTGATACATGTCTATGGGAGCCTGATACATGTCTATGTGAGCCTTATACATGTGTATTGGAGCCTGATAATGTCTATGGGAGCCTGATACATATCTATGGGAGCCTGATACATATCTATGGGAGCCTGATACATGTCTATGGGAGCCTGATACATGTCTATGGGAGCCTGATACATGTCTATGGGAGCCTGATACATGTCTATGGGAGCCTGATACATGTCTATGGGAGTCTGATACATGTCTATGGGAGCCTGATACATGTCTATGGGAGTCTGATACATGTCTATGGGAGCCTGATACATGTCTATGGGAGTCTGATACATGTCTATGGGAGCCTGATACATGTCTATGGGAGTCTGATACATGTCTATGGGAGCCTGATACATGTCTATGGGAGTCTGATACATGTCTATGGGAGCCTTATACATGTGTATTGGAGCCTTATACATGTCTATGGGAGCCTGATACATATCTTTGGGAGCCTGATAATGTCTATGGGAGCCTGATACATGTTTATGGGAGCCTGATACATATCTTTGGGAGCCTGATACATGTCTTTGGGAGCCTGATACATGTTTATGGGAGCCTGATACATGTCTATGGGAGCCTGATCATGTCTATGGGAGCCTGATACATGTCTATGGGAGTCTGATGCATGTCTATGGGAGCCTGATACATGTCTATGGGAGTGGGAGCCTGATACATATCTATTGGAGTCTGATACACGTTTATGGGAGCCTGATATATATCTATGGGAGCCTGATACATATCTATGGGAGTCTGATACATATCTATGGGAGCCTGATACATGTCTATGGGAGCCGGATACATGTCTATGGGAGCCTTATACATGTGTAATGAAGCCTGATAATGTCTATGGGAGCCTGATACATATATATGGGAGCCTGATACATATCTTTGGGAGCCTGATACATGTGTATGGGAGCCTGCTGATACATGTCTCTGGGAGCCTTATACATATATATGGGAGCCTGATACATGTCTATGGGAGCCTGTTACATGTCTATGGGAGCCTGATACATGTCTTTGGGAGCCTGATACATGTTTATGGGAGCCTGCTACATGTCTATGGGAGCCTGATACATGTCTATGGGATTCTGATACATGTCTATGGTAGCCTGATACATGTCTATGGGAGCCTTATACATATGTATGGGAGTCTGATACATGTCTATGGGAGCCTTATACATGTGTAATGAAGCCTGATAATGTCTATGGGAGCCTGATACATATCTATGGGAGCCTCATACGTATCTTTGGGAGCCTGATTACATGTCTATGGGAGTCTGATACATGTCTATGGGAGCCTGATACATGTCCATGGGAGCCTGATACATGTCTATGGGAGCCTGATAGATGTCTATGGGAGCCTGATACATGTCTATGGGAGTGGGAGCCTGATACATATCTATTGGAGTCTGATACATGTTTATGCGAGCCTGATATATATCTATGGGAGCCTGATACATATCTTTGGGAGTCTGATACATGTCTATGGGAGCCTGATACATGTCCATGGGAGCCTGATACATGTCTATGGGAGCCTGATCATGTCTATGGGAGCCTGATACATGTCTATGGGAGCCTTATACATGTGTCTGAGAGTCTGATACATGTCTATGGGAGCCTTATACATGTGTATGGGAGTCTGATACATGTCTATGGGAGCCTGATGCATGTCTATGGGAGCCTATGGGAGCCTGATACATATCTATTGGAGTCTGATACATGTCTATGGGAGCCTGATACATATCTATTGGAGTCTGATACATGTTTATGGGAGCCTGATATATATCTATGGGAGCCTGATACATATCTATGGGAGTCTGATACATATCTATGGGAGCCTGATACATGTCTATGGAAGCCTGATACATATCTATGGGAGTCTGATACATGTACATATCTTTGGGAGCCTGATAATGTCTATGGGAGCCTGATACATATCTATGGGAGTCTGATACATATCTATGGGAGCCTGATACATGTCTATGGAAGCCTGATACATATCTATGGGAGTCTGATACATATCTATGGGAGCCTGATACATGTCTATGGGAGCCTGGTACATGTCTATGGGAGCCTGATACATATCTTTGGGAGCCTGATACATGTGTATGGGAGCCTGATACATGTCTATGGGGAGTCTGATACATGTCTATGGGAGTCTGATACATATCTTTGGGAGCCTGATACATATCGGGAGCCTGATATATATCTATGGGAGCCTGATACATATCTTTGGGAGTCTGATACATGTCTATGGGAGCCTGATACATATCTTTGGGAGCCTGATACATATCGGGAGCCTGATATATATCTATGGGAGCCTGATACATATCTTTGGGAGTCTGATACATGTCTATGGGAGCCTGATACATGTCTATGGGTGCCTGATACATATCTTTGGGAGCCTGATACATATCTATGGGAGCTTGATACATATCTATGGGAGCCTTATACATGCTGATAATGTCTATGGGAGCCTGATACATATATATGGGAGCCTGATACATGTCTATGGGAGGCTGATACATATATATGGGAGCCTGATACATATCTTTGGGAGCCTGATAATGGCTATGGGAGCCTGATACATGTTTATGGGAGCCTGATACATGTCTATGGGAGCCTTATACATATCTATTGGAGCCTGATACATATCTATGGGAGCCTGATACATATCTATGGGAGGCTGATACATGTCTATGGGAGCCTGATACATGTCTATGAGAGTCTGATACATGTCTATGGGAGCCTGATACATATCTTTGGGAGCCTGATACATATCTATGGGAGCTTGATACATATCTATGGGAGCCTTATACATGTGTATTGGAACCTTATACATATATATGGGAGCCTGATACATGTCTATGGGAGCCTGATACATGTGTATGGGAGCCTGATGCATGTCTATGGGAGCCTGATACATATCTATGGGAGCCTGATAAT